AATCATTACAGATTTGGAAAGCATAATACTTGGTTTTCAAAGTAAATCGTAAACCATAATAGAGAGCATTTGGTGTGCGGTTTGTTCCAACCAATCAGAATAGATTAATGGATTGTCTGCTGTATTTCTATGAACTAAAAATAGACATTCTACTTGCTTGCAATAAAGAGTCGTCCTCGTTATTTGTGAGTGATCTTCTTGAGGGCATGCAAGGAATAATACGCCAAAAAACACGAATACACACGTTATATGTGTTTTAGACAGTGAACAGATGTTGGCAGAAGAATGAAACGCAAAAATGTGTGGAGTTTTGCTTGGGTAGCAGAAAGCTCACATAACCTTCATCTAAAATGGAAATGATACATTAGCACCTTCTTGTCAAACGGTACATGAAATACTAATTTTACAGCAGAGACCCGGATCCCGGTAGGAATGAGGAACGCACCTCATCGCAGAGTGACTACGCCTCAGATAAGTGGATAGTACAGCACAACTTGAATACAAACCATAGCCAAGTGTTCTTTAACAACATTTACGACCCTCTTCACTTAAGTCTTGTAGAGGTCAAAGTTTAAAATGCCACTTTCACAGAACACTGAAAGTCATGTGACATGGGTGGGGCGTGGTGGGCGAGCTATCTAAGGCGCCAGGCTAGTGATCCAGCGAGGTTGAGGGGTCGGGATCGAACCCACCTGTGACCGGGTGTAAAAACCTTGGAGTCATGTTTGTGTGCAGACTTTTCAGTGTTGTCACAACCCCTAGTGTACAGTACACAACCCTGTGCACTTAAAAGAACCCACGACTCCGTTAGAATATGACCGGATGGTGGCCACATGAATACGTCTAAACACCTAGTTACGGGTACATCAACGTGCAGTAAACTTGGACAAAGTACTGTGACTCTGTGTCCCAGTCAGCCCAGCTGTGAATGGGTACCTCGTTAGGAAGAGAAAGCCACAATAACTCGGCGCGACTAGTGGCTGTATACTCCCCAGTTGAGGTTTATAGTACGGTGTGCCGTTGAGATTGACATCCAATGATCGAGGGAAAAAATACCAGCGCATTGAGCATGCACTGGTTGCGTGGATATGTGCGATATATAAATATCCTATAATAACATGGAAGTGTTAATTATATAAGCTGAATGTTAACTGCAAGAGTACGAAGACCATGATATAAATTTGGCAGGTACATGTATTGCCACCAAACATATGGGACACAAATGATAGGAGCTATCGAAAACTACTTTCTGAGCAGGTCGTAAACCTTAACGTATCTAAGTACTTCCAGTTGTCTGTTATATAGGCAGCCCATGACATCAACTAATTGAGGATTGCATTAGGAATAATTCTGTCTACCGATATGAAAGATACATAATACTGTTTTCAAAAGAAGCTTGAGCTTCAGCGTTGGCGTACTGTATCCTCAACTGGGTTCTAATTATCACTACAATCACAGTGGTCACTGGTTGTGGTATGCAGGCGTAAGTGAAGGACTTATGTGAAAGGACGTATATTCCAAAACAAACAAGTCTCTCGTGTCCTAAATGACCGTGCCGTAACAACAGGCTGACATTCCCTTTATGGTAACTGTTGGACACGGAGAAACATATCAAGAACATAATACCATACCAGACGCTAACCTTCACTTATTGTAAATTATCGAAATTTCAAATTGGGAGGATTTTACGCCTCGTGTTGGAACTGTGTTATGAAAAGAGTGTTCGAATTGTTTAACATTTTACATTTCTGATGGCTTCGTTTTATCGCAAATGTATTGTGCCTCATTCTCCCACCATCCTTGGTCTTTGAAGGTCGTTAATGATTTACTTTACAATGATGTTTTTTTCTCATATGTCAATGTATAATCACAATCAACAAGTAATGAGTGAGTGAGTATGGTTTTACGCCGCTTTTAGCAATATATCAGCAATATCACGGCGGAAATTGATTTCACACATTGTACTCATGTTTGGAATCGATCCCGGGTCTTCAGCGTGACGAGCGGACGCTTTATCCACTCGGCTACCCCATTGCCCCTCAACAAGTGACGAGGATTATTCGTAATTACGTCGATGAGATGGCCCGTGTGAATAATATGGAGCCAGTGGTTTCATAATCGTCCATAAGTATAACATAGGTACATTTTACTTATCCTTTGTAAATTGTAACCGCTCCACATCACTAACAAACACATGTGTTAAAGACATTTGGATTGTTACGAATACGTAAAATTTATTACAGTGTCAGTGTTATTAGGCTGTTATTCATATTTGCACATAGCCCTCGCTCAATATAGAGATTAGAAGCAAAAACGGAATCCATCCGAAAAATTGAAGATTAGTCGCTCAGAAGAGTCGTAATATTACAGTGTCGACATCGGATGTTCGCAAAACATGCGAATTGAATATACGTCGCGGGTAGTGAGCTAACCAATGTCATTTTGTCTCTTGGTTTCTTTTAAGTAATTTTCTCATGGGGATACCAGTGGCAACACTTGAGCACATGGTTTCAATTTACCTCAAGACACGACATGTCTCTTCTTACGCATAACTAAATCACTTTGACATTTTCAGTTGTAAAGGGTAAAAGTTTCGATCCAAACATACAGTGCATCAACACTGCCAGATAATTAAGATTAGACTTTTAACCAAGTATGAATATGATCAAGAATGGTTGTCTTCATACAATCAAACCTGGTTACCAGCCGGTACTATAAACACTGACAAAAACGTTAAATCATTTTGATATTTCCACAATAGAGTATAACCTATTGGCCAATGCAAGTGGTTACCAATATGTCACTTAGTCAAAGAATACATTTAGAGTTGTGATTGTTCCATCTTGGCCTCAGGGCCAGGTAAAAGCTGGATACTGTTCCGCCGGAAATGAGAAACCGCCGTCGATTCTCTGATAATATAAAGACAGGCACACATACATAATGAAACACACTGACACATTGTATCTATTCCACATACAGAAATACATGCGTCACGCCACATGTCATTGCTATTGGATGTCACATATCTATTATTATTATTTATCCGACACAAGTAGTGTACACTGTATAGAACTAAAATTTGTACACACTATTTCTACTAATCCCTGTTCTTACGCGAGCCCCAAAAACGATGTCCATAGTGTCTGTTAGATCAATTGCACGTTCAGTCTGCGTGTTAGTGTCTCGGCCATGTCAGTTAAAATATTCATGTCCATAAATAGTGACATCATTTTAACCCGTTACGTTGTTTCTGTGAAAAAAATATGCCATTTTGAACTGTTTAATGGCATTCCAATGATACCATGTCATACAGCTGACGTGCCTGGATGCACACCTTGGGCCATGACCATAACACTTTCAGATTGTTTTCATTACCCCTACATCACTGCCCACGTGAGACTGAAATCACAGATTGATGATGTAATGTGACTATTGTAGAAAGACTTAGTAGTCTTTTATTGGCACCATGCATTAAAAGGACCCAGAATCAATTCAACATGAGCGTGTTCGTCAATAAGCGTTTAACACTGCTTGAGACTTTCCAAATTGGTATTGATTGGTGTCGACTGGGCTGTCCCGTGTAAGAATTGTGATGGAGGAGATGAAACCGTGATATACGTCGGCCAGGGATTTGTTGATGCTCAGATTTGATTTCACTATATCAGCACAACCTGACGCCACATGTACATACATACACACACAGGCACGCATGGGGGGGGGCATGGGTTAATGTACCCTCGATGTTTGTGTGGAACATAAACAAACATCGAGGGTACATCAACCCATGGGCCCCAAGGGACCAGTGAACAACGAATTTATCTTACCGAACACCTTAATGTTAATTTTGAATTGTTTGAAGCACGGGTACAAATCTTTTTGTAGCCATCGCTAGATTTTGCTGACAAGAAAAACAGATTTAGAGTTATCTCCCTTTCATCATTTCGCATTCGCAAAACATCGGTAATTTCCGTACATCATTCGCGATGCAATGTTATTCGAGATAAAGAATTAATACCACGAGGTACCAAATGCGTTGCCATTGACAGGGGGTACATTGAAATGTTACTCGCTTGTAAGCTGGGTACATTGAAAATAATAGAAGAGCGCTCGGCCAATCAGTAAGCGACATTTATGTGTGAGGTAAGATAAATGAGTATTATATCCTGATGATTCTTGTAATACCCAGCATCCTTGTGAGTTGCCCATGTTTATTTCACCCACAAAATCAAAAGACTCTAAACTCCTTACATACAAGATGAAAACAAACGGTGGGAGCATTAAGTGAATGTTAAGCTATATTGAGTACATCTGGTGTCCGGTTTGTTCGCCCAATCAGACAGGATAAATAGAATATCTGCCAGACAAAAATATTCCAGTGCACTAAAACAGTCACTCCCACGCGCGGATAAAAATGTCTTCCTCGTTAATTGTGTTAAATGTTAAAGGTGGTTCAGACAAACAGTAATCAATTTTCGCAGTAAAATGGAGAGTACATTCTGGTGGTAACTGTTGGATGTCACACCTCTCCTTCAAAGTAGCATCAAAGCCCCTATAACCTCCTAAACAAAAATAGCACATTTTCAACTACACATCACACCGTCCATGAAGATATGTGCAGACATACTGATATGATACAGTAGGATATGATGCCTGTCCCCAATCCGGACGAATCTGATATTGAAACCTTCGAACATCGGATCTTGGCACAACTGATTTCATCAACTCGACCGTTTGTGACTATGTTTCTAATGCATTTACCATCCTTATCAGTTATGCGTTTGTCCAGTTCAAAGACACTTTGAGGTTATGTCACTTTAATACCATCCTTCCAGAAATATCGAGTAAGAGTTGAGTTGAATGTTCATTGAAGACGATTCAGAACTACATCCTAAGGAACAAGTTCAATCAACTTTGAGTCTGAGTACTTCCTGTGATCTTATGGATTTGACAGACATTACTTTCAGCCATATCTTTTCACACCAAGTCCTTCTGCAGCTGCCATGGCTATCTCCCGAACATCCGATTGTTGTGAAGAAATCAAACTTTGGATGACCAACAATAAGCTACAGCTGAACGCTGAGAAAACTGAAGCAATTCTCATTGGTCCATCACAGAGGCGTCAGAAATGCCAAATTCACTCGATGAGAGTGAACAATTATACCATACCTCTGTCATCCTATGTGAATGACGTCGGGGTTGTCATCGATTCTGATCTTAACCTGGACAAGCAAATCAGTCAACTCTCTAAAGTCTGCCACCTACAATTAAGGAACATTGGCAAGATCAGACCCTGTCTCACCAAAGAAGCTACAAAATCGCTGACTCTCTCTCTTATCATTTCTCGCCTTGACTATTGTAATAGTCTTCTCGCCAACTCTCCAAATATCAACCTAAACAGACTCCAAAGGATTCAAAATAAAGCTGCTCGCCTTGTCTCTCTGTCACCCATGTCGAACCACATCACACCCATCCTCCAAGAACTCCACTGGCTTCCAGTAAAACAACGAATCGACTTTAAGCTCCTTTATCTGGCATTCCAATGCTACTCTCAAACAGCCCCACATTATCTATGTGACTTACTTCCATTGTACTGTCTCAGCAGAACCCTTCGGTCTGAATTCAAACATCTGTTTATTGTTCCAAAAGTGAAACTCTCTAGTTATGGGAAGAAATCGTTTGCATATGCTGCAGCCACTGCCTGGAACAATCTCCCCCCTTGATGTTCGCCAGTGTCAAACCTGTTCTGCCTTCAAAACAGCTATCGAAACCCATCTTTTCCGCCAAGATTTCTTCTGATCAAATCTCACTGCGCTTTGAGCATAATATCCAAGTATGGAAAAGCGCAATACAAATCCACTATTATTATTATTATATATGGGATGTTGATGATACAGAACTACATCGTAAGGAGCTCGTTCTATCAGCTTTGCCGTGTCTAAGCACTGCCAGTGATATCACCAGTCCATGGTAGCGACGATCTGAGGTAAGCAGTGGGAATAATTATGTGGACCGAAATGAAAGAAAGATATAATTACTTTCTTTAGAAAGCTAGCTTTTGCTTCAGCGTGGAGATAGTGAAAAGTCTCAAGGGGGTTCCAATTGTCTGTACTGTCACAAAGGTCAAACGCTGCCATGTGCAGTCTACGCAACTTGACTATATATTCCGGTTACCAAAATATCTCAATAATTAAACTTGTGTCTCTTGTCCTTAGGTAGGTATGGGAGTACCGTAACATCGTGTTGACATTCCTTTAGTTATCACCGGACACGACGAGAACATTCCGGCAAATCTATACAGCAGATATTACTTTTTTTCATCGTGATTTAGAAATAAACAAAGGGAAGCTGATACATGTACGTCTCGTTTTGGAACATTTCTCAATAGCGGGTGCATACATTTATATTGACCGTTTTAAATCAATCCGGTTACAAAGCTACAATAGATACATGCATGAAGTAAAGAATATTGAACAGATCAAACTCTAAACGAAAGCAACATTTACCATGGCAGTCATACTGCAATCGATATTACCATGACAGTTGAGGTGGGTTGGCAAAAACAAGTTATTTTTCAACGTAATGGACAATGGGCACACACATCTAAAATCGATTAAGTTTAATGGCACTTGACATTAATGTATGAACAACTCCTGATACAAGATAGGCATTAACTCTCCGGGACGTTGACAAAAGTCACCTGGATAATTTCTGTAGAAATAGTACAAGAGAACTGGACGAAGAACGGCATACATTGACGTAGAGCTGCCACATTTCTCTCATCACTGTCCACAAATTCTTCCCTGCATCACTCCACCACTCGTCTACCCGTGAAGATCGGGTTAGAACTGATCTTCAGTAACCCATGCTTGTCGTAAGAGGCGACAAACGGGATCGGGTGGTCAGGTTCGCTGACTTGGCTGACACAAGTCATCGGTTCCCAATTGCGCAGATCGATGCTCAAGCTATTGATCACTGGATTGTCTGGTCCAGACTCGATTATTTACAGACCGCCGCCATATAGCAGGGGATATTGCTGAGTGCGGCGTAAATCTAAACTCACTCACTCCACCACTCGTCATCAGTGACTATCTCACATGCCGTCAGTATCATTTTTTTGATTACCATGACTGCACACGGACTTTCGGCTACACAAGCAGCCCGCGTTTTTCACTTTTTCGCATTTCCTACAGAAAACGAAAACAAAAAACTGTCTGCATAGAGCATTGTCGTGTTTTGTCGATGAGTTATCACAGATTTAGTTTCAATTTGTATTCGTAAGTTTTTTCATCATTATCATGACACCCTCTGTTATTGCGGTAGTTAATGCTGTCGCTCTCGGGATTTTGAACGTCCACTGACAATTGGCATTTTATAGATATTTTCAATTGACTGATGTTTAATCTTCGTTTCTGTCGTAAATAATATGGCATACAGACGCTACTCGTTCAATACGATGCACAAATGTTCATCGCTTGATGTCTATTCCAGTATCAAAAGTGTATTTTGCATTGAACCATATTTAACTTTATTGAAATCTAAAGATGCGAGGCGTCGAATAACAATGTTACGAATCGGTGCACTTCCAATATATAAAAATACTGGTAGATTTGATGGAGTTCCGAGGTACCAAAGACTTTGTAATATTTGTAATGATAATTTTGTAGAAAATGAATTTCATTTCCTATTTGAATTTAAAGTTAATCATGATTTGCGCTGTAAATATTTTAAAGCATTACCAAATTACACAGATCAACAATACTTTCTGAATTCATTATCTTGTACCAAGTTTTCAACACTAAAATATTGTTCTTCTTACATTAAGGAAGTATTGTCATTGTATTCTTTATACATATGAATCTGATTGTCAAATGCCACTATCTTATAATTACACGTTTATTTGTATTGTACGTGGGCCTAAGGCCTTGTTACGAAATAAACTTGAATACAATACGATCGCGGCAATCCCGATAGCCTCATTTAATCCGCAAATTAAATCGACTCGCTATTATAGCGGTATTGTGATTTATTTACAATGACATGCGGTACAAATATATGACACTGTCAAAGATTTACCTGCCACAAGAAACGAATCTTAATAGTTGATTTAATATGGAGAAATATTCAGGAATTTTATTAGTATCATTAATGGATTTTAATTTGTAAATATAATACATGAAACTTCTATCTATTTTGATAAAACGTAACACTGTCGCAATAAAATGTTTTTTAGCCTTAAAGAGTGTCACACAATTTGCTGACATGCGTCACTTTCGGTTATATTTTGGGGTAGGTAAATGTGTAGATGACCTTACAATTGTCGCAGGAGTATACTTCGTGCCGGATGCAATGGCATTAGGAGTCAAGCATTTTCAAAATGCTCCAGAATTTACTGCAAAGATTAATGCTTCACCATACTTCCGAAATCACTTTTACTGGAGTGATGAGTTGTTGACGTAAGTTGCACATGCCAAACGGCGATACGGTGCATGGTGTTTCTGTTTTCCTGTTGTGTTCACGTGACGTGATAACAGTCCGAGTAGAATTGTTTTGGGTTTTATTGCATTTCATTTTGGAACTGGGAAATCTTCAATTTCAGTCAGTTTCCATTCAAGGTTCATGAAATTTTACAGCGGGAGTGTTAATTTGTGTGTAGTTTTTGGTGTATGGTACGCTCGTTGGCAGTTGTTTTGTCACATTTGCATTATGTCTCGTCAATTTCCCCTCTCGGAATCTTTTCCGACGGCGAGTTGCAATGAATTGCGTGATCACGTCAACTAGTCGATGGTGATTTATGACTGTAGCCATAACGACTATAATTCTTCATCCTGTAATTGAAAATCATAACCTCTGATGATTAGACCTACTATTTGATATTCTTAGGGAGAGAATAATTTTCCCAGGGGAAATAGATTAGATTGAAATAACAGAAAACTGTAGGTGTCAACATTTTGTTTCCAGCTTCTTCTAATTGGCACTGGAGTTGTTCACATATTCTCATTACATTGTGTTTTCTGAACCTCAACTTATTTTTTCTCATACTTGTTTGTTTATTTTTTAAGATAATCAAATCTCTGAGCAGTTGATAGATTACACAGCGGTTGATTGTCACACTGATTGGTGCTCATCATCATATTACTGCAAAAACGTCTTTTTTCCGGTGTCGTCTCACGACGTCGACCTTTCGATTTTCCACTAGTCTCAGGACGCCGACCTGCGGTTTTCTTTGAAGTTTAGGTTCTGATTAGGCTTAGGGTAATCTACTCTAGATGTTTTGATAAGGTGAACTCGTCGCACATGCACGGGTCACTTGAGGGTGAACTCATGTCACTTGAAAAGTTTACAATAACACTTAGCAGAGTGCCAATATTGAACACTGTTCATATCTTTGGTATAAATATCTATGGAATGGCCAAAGGATTCACATTCGATTTCGAAATGGCAAATGCACAGCTAGATCAGAGATTCATCCCTACAGCCCGCGGCGGTCGTTACTTGGTTGTTGGCGGGTTCATGTACAGAGTCAGCAAGAGAAAACGAGACTGGATATCTTGGATATGTACTGCAAAAGGCTGCAAATCAACAGCATCAACAACGAATCTCCAGAAGGCCTACCAGGACGATGACGAGATCAAGAGGTTCGTCCGGAGATGTGCCGTCTTGCCTTTGGTGCCAGCACAGGAGGTAAGTTATGTTAAAACAAATAGTTAACTCCACCCCAATAGGTTGTGTAACAAAGGTGTTATTTTGCCCTGTATATTCAGTAACATTAATTTATGTATCTTTTCTTCTTCAGGTAGAGGACCTGTGGCTGGATACCTTGGCGACGATGCCAGATGATGACCGGTGCCGACAACTCGGGGACTACATGACCAACTTCTGGGTGGAGGGAGATCTGCACATGACGCAATGGAACCACCACAACTCAGATGGGCCAAGAACAAACAACCACCTAGAAGGATGGCATTCCCGCCTGAAGAAATACGTCGGCAAGGCTCATCCAAACATTTTCGAGATTGTGTCCTTCTTGTCACGTGAACAGACCAACACCGAAAACAAGCTAGTCCAGTATGCTGCTGGCCAGAAGCGTCCCTCCAAAAAGAGGAAATACAGGAATTTGGAGCGGCGACTGGATAACATCTGTCACCAGCTTGAACAAGGAACACTGTCCGTGAGGCAGTTTGCTGATTCAGCATCCCACCTATTCGTTTAGGTTAAAATCTTTGAAAAAATGTATGCTATATGAATTTACGATGTATTTATTAAAAATGCTAAAATCTGTCAACTAATAAAAATCTGTCATCTGTTGTCATCTTCTCATTAGGTGCGCTCTCATCCGCATAATCCGGATTATCCTCCTCTAACAACACTTTGATCCTGCATTGTCCTCGTAATCCATTATTAAGTGGCAAAGTGAAACTAGTCTCAGGACGTCGACCTTCAGATTGCACCCAACCGTAAAGTTGGGTCGAAAGGTCGGCGTCGTGAGCCTGAACCTTACATGGGCATTAGACTGAAAATCAGTTAAAATAGATGAATTGGTGAGAGTCCAGTAAGTGTCCGGAAATGCATTGACTTTTTAAATGCTGCTAAGCTCAGTAAGGTAAATCGGCCAATCAGATATTATTTGATTACAATAACGATCCACAGTTAATCTTACAAAATATGAGATGTTACTTTACCTAACGCATTGCGCCATGAACTAACTACTGTATCTTCAAGTGGGCGGAATTTGCTCGGATATCAAGAAAGATAGGTTGTTTGAAGAACAGGTCTTTAACGCTGGACCATGCTATGTGGTGACATCGTATGTTGAAAGACCAATATATCTGCTGTATTTTCACATCTTACCTCTAGATTTCAAATTAAATGGGCTGATTATTTTGCTAAGATCGTGATGGATTTAGAAAGAAAGAATAGAAGCGACAAAACCCTTCCGACATCCATAAGAAATCTCTGCTAAAAGCATAGTCGTTTGTACAATTCTGACCATATCCTGAGTATGTGCTTGTTTCAGCAGTATTACGACTGTACAATGCTGTTTGTAAACATCTGAGACACTCTCTCAAAAAAGAAACGCAACCCCTATCTAAATATCTGACATCATTTCTAGAATAAAGATGGTGAATGTAAATTAGAATTTTCTTCAAAATACTGTTAATACGTTCCCATCTGATCAGTATAAGCTCCCAAACGGAACCATTTTCACACATGATGACCTTTGTATCCGTGTTATTTGAGAAAGTGCGAAATTGTCATGTACAAAATGCTAAAAGCCTGTTGCACGTGCAAATCGTTGAAAACACAGTTCATGTAGAGGGTTTTAAAAGCACGCGTAGTTTGTAATTTTTCTCTCATAATTTGCCCTGCAAATCAAGTTCGAAAATGCCCCGTTTGAGTACAGCAAATCGAAATATTGCCATTGGTCGCATTGAGGCCGGGGAAAGCTTTGGAACAGTTGCCCGTCATCTAAACGTACACAAAACAACAATCTCACGACTTTGGAATCGTTACACACAGTTCCATGCAATTGAAGATCGTCCCAGGAGCGGTAGACCTAGGATCACCACACCGGCTCAGGATCGCTTTATTCGACTCAGCCACCTACGTAATCGGCATGCCACACCCACCATCACTGCAACACAGGTGCCAGGTTTGAGGAGAGTATCGGCCCAAACCATCAGGAACCGTTTACATGAGGCAAATTTACGTGCAAGAAGACCAGTTGTTGGGCCCGTCTTGAAACGCCAACATCGACGCCAACGTCTCAGGTGGTGTACTAACGTAAGGAGATGGACCCTAAGAAACTGGAGAAGAGTCTGGTTTAGTGACGAGTCTCGTTTTCTTCTTCAACGACGTGACGGTAGACAACGTGTCTATAGACGAGCAAATGAACGTTTTGCACCGAACTGCGTTCGACAGGTCGACAGATTTGGAGGAGGAAGCATCATGGTATGGGGAGCCATGTCTTACAACCAACGGTCAGACTTGGTCATCATTCGTGGCAATTTGACGGCACAACGGTACATTGATGACGTCTTACAGCCACATCTTCTGCCGATAATCGACCAACAGAGGGAGTTGTTTCAACATGACAATGCCCGCCCTCATACAGCTCGTGCAACAGTGGCATTCCTACAGAATTCAAACGTCAACGTGATGCCGTGGCCCTCCAGATCGCCAGACATCAATCCTATCGAACATCTGTGGGACCAGCTGGATCGTCGTGTTCGTGCACGTACACCACAACCGCACACGTTGGTTGAACTGGCCGCAGCACTCCAGGAAGAGTGGAGAGCAATCCCCAGGAAAACATCCGCCGTCTGATTCGTTCTGTTCCGAGGAGGTGCACTGCTGTGATTAGAGCTCGTGGCTCTACAACGAGATACTGAAGACAACGCCCCTAGCGTAAATTGAGAGTTCGATACTGACCTGCATTAACTGTTACCTTATACCGTGCTGACCTAAGGTTCACCATGTCAAATTTCATGGCATTATCTTTAAAAATACAAATGTAATAACCAGTTAAAATTGATATAAACATTACCAAAAAAACAGGGTTGCGTTTCTTTTGAGAGAGTGTATATACTGTTTCACATTCATGTTTTACGTTAACTAATCGTTAATACTCTCTCTCTCTCTCTCTCTCTCTCTCAGAGAGAGAAAGAGAGAGAGCTGTTGGCTCTGATAATAGGGTGTTGACTAGACAACCCGAGAGAGAGAGAGGGGGAGAAAGAGAGAGAAAGAGAGATGCTGGCTCTGATAATAGGGTGTTGACTAGACAACCCAGTAATTTCATATTCTGGCCGATGGTCCAAGCTTCCAGCTTTCGATAACATATCGATCAAGTCAGCCTATCGATTTAGCCACTTCTTACGTACACTATATTATAAAACGTCATGTATATGTCTTTGGGGACCAATTATTCCAACCATCAACCCACACAGGTCGTCTAGCGGAAAGGTCCACTTTGACTTGATTGTCAGAGTCTACGATCGGGCGTTGAAAAGTCCCAGTTTAACAGTTCGTCAGAGTGTAAAGGACACCACTCCGTCTGGCTACCGGTATGTGACAACAAGGCACTTTCGTACATTAATAAAACACACACGATTACCAAGGTATATAGGCACTGAATACAAATATACAGAGAGGGAGAGGTAAACATCACTCTATGATAACACACTATCCGAGACAACTGTTTAATAATTTTAGTCGTTTCTTTCAAAATTGCCTTGTAATCTCAAGTCAGCACTGTAGACTAGCAGCATCGTAAGTATTATTTAAATACATGACAAATGAACATGTCTATCATAGGCTCTAAAAGCATCAGTGGTATAAATAACGGCCTTTATTCGGGGTATTTCACTTATGAGATACACCAAAAGAAACCTGGCCACTAATAGATGCTTTTCGTGGCTATTTTATAGGAAGGAATAATAGTTCCACTTTTGCAGTATTAAAGATTTTTTTCAGCGAAGTTTCTCGTTGCTGCGATTATTTAGTCTGTAGTTGTGAGTCGTTTCTCGTTATAAGCAAGGGGCAAATATACTCGAAGCAGCGAGAAATTAATCGAAATAACGATAAAATAATTGAACAAAATAGGCTATATTAATTACGTACACTTGGGAATTGATCATTACAATTATGTAACACACAATATGTCAAATCACCTATGTTATTCATACAATCCTTAACGACAAGACTAAAAGATATGTATATTCAAACATGGTGTGAAAGGATATTCTTATCAAATAAATGCATTTATTATTCATTGTTTAAAAATGCCATAGTTCTTGAGTCATATCGATCCTGTGTTAATGTTAAAAAGTTTAGAATAGCAGTGGCACGATTCAGATGCTCTTCTCGTGATTTGTTGATTGAAAGAGGCAGATATATGAATGTAAAAAGAGAAAATAGAATATGGACATTTGTAATTTTAACGAAATAGAAGATGAATTACATTTTCTCCTAATATGTCCATTTTATGACCAGTTGCGAACAAAATATATCAAAAGATATTACTATGTCAATCCAAATGTGATAAAATTCTCCTCACTGTTAAGTAGTAAAAATCCAGTTCTTCTACAAAATATTTCAATGTTCATTTACTATCGTATGATTACCCGATCTAAATTCCTCTCAAATGTAACATAACTTTATGTACTATAGGCCTGTGGCCTTCTCAGTGCAAATAAAGATTATTATTATTATTATAATTATGTAACACAAATTATGTAGCACCCTCTAACAAGATAATGTATATCAAATAGTATTATTGATTATAAGAGATGAATAAACACTTGTACCGTAAACGCCAAAATATCAATGCAAAGTCACTAAGTTACATACCTGAAAGTGTCATATCACATTCGATACATTAATTGTACTGTCACCATAACCAAAATGCAAATTGACGAACACCAAGAAGGTGTCAACATTCCGAATTTCATTTTCGAATTCAGCATCGCATTGCTATTAAGAGGGGCTGTACAGCACGGTGGTAAACGTTTCTTTTTTTAAAATATTTTTATTCATTTCAGATAGGTATACAAAGACAGGGAGTACACAACTCCATGTTAGGGCTGGTTACATTCTGGCAACACAGAGTTACAAATTGTCAAAGTAGGAAACTATAGTTACTAGTATACAAAGTCAGGGAGTGCACGACTCCAGTAGCAAACTTCATGGGTTACAGGCATGCTCGAGCTCACGGTGGTAAACTTGCCTCTAGTGTTAAGTTGAGAGACAACATTGTCTGTATCGCATGTGGAACCTTTGGACAGAAACATATAACTCAGTTTACATTGAAAAGAGTCCCAGTTAACTCAGAACTATACATACTTCGTTTAGGGCTCTTGCACTGCAGAAAGCGTTGGGGTCAAGGGAACATAATGACAGGAGTAGTCAGAATGGTCGCTAAGTCTTAGGTCTGGCCTGTTGCCAGAGCAGAACAAGCATCGGAATCTCTGTACTTGTACGCGAAAGTCGTAATTCCAAATTAAACTGGTTCACTGATCACTTGATTGTCTGGTTTGTTTATAGGCCGCCGTCGCATGGGAGGAGTACTCTCATTCCCAGGGAAACTTTGTGAATGGCGGGTGCTATCCGTAAGGCAGGAGATGTTTACCCTTTTCGCGAACACCATATATTCATATATTATAATTGTCACAGATATTTGCTTCTTTACAGCAAACGGAATTTGTTTCTGTGGATAGTCAAGACCGGGTATTCTTTTGAATTCTAT